CATCTCAACATGGGTTGACTTCTTCATCCCTAAAAAATTGGTCTAGCGCTAAAAAAATTAGCACTTTTGAAGGGGATGGTGGGTGTTTAGATTTCAGAGCTCTGGCAAACTGTCTCAGAAAGTAGGGACAAATAGCAAGGTACATGTGGGCTTCTGGATTTCATCTTTAGTCTTTTAACAGTATTTCCTACCAAAGCTTCAGACTTCTTTCTGCTCTGCAGTCTGATGCAGTATATCATCAGCTGAGGAAGCTGCTTTCAAATATCTTGGTAGACTTACCCGTTGTTGTCACTGGAATCAAGTCTTGATACAATCTTGAAACTATATATTTTCTGGATATTCTCAAAATGCATCTTCTTTTCTGGGTGACTTCCGAAAATGTTGGAAATACATTTTCAAATTGATGAAGCAAGTTAGGTTCTAGGAGAAGCCATGCTGGCAGTTTGTGAGAAATGTTTATTGTTGGATTGGAATGATTAGATACTTAAAAAATTAATCATCTGTTTCATTTAGTTGGTCAAAAAATACTTTCTAAAGTAATATTACTATTCAATAGTGATAGCTGCTACCAAGGGCGTAGGATAGTATTATTAAAATTTAAACAGGTTTATCAATATTTGCCTGACCAATTGTATGTTATCCAATATTTGGTGAGATGACAAAGAAGGGCCTTTTGGGAGTACTCACCATGTCTACAGATCATCTCTAGAAGGAACAAAAATTAAGTTCACAGACCAAATTAGCTGCTGGAGTGACAATGTGGAAAAGGTGCAATTACACTGTCCAGCTAATATGTCTTGTTGGAGGCACTGGTAGTTGCTGAGTGAACCTCTCACATAATACAACTTATGTGGTGAGTCTGCAGTTAGAGTGATCATTAAAAGTAAATGTTAATATTTGTCCTTTCTTTGAAACTCAGGTTTAGTTGTTTTGTGTTTTGGTTTGGAGTTGTTTTTTATGAAAAAAAAAAAAAAGGTATTTACTATGTTTTCTAACCAAGTTTCCCTGTCTCTGTGTTTTCTTTTCAGTTATGTTTCGCTTGTATGATACAGATGGGAATGGATACCTGGATAGTTCGGTAATGTTATTTGTGTATTTTGATCCATTGTAAGAGTATGTCATCATGGAATACCTGTACAAAAATACATTAATCCAAATCAAGTTTATATTTATCCTGAATTATTAGAAGCAGTATAAACTGTAGTCGATAAAAAGTCAACGATTTGAAAAGTATATCTTGAGTTTTCTTTTCCAATAAGCTGCTGCTTCTACTACTGTATAAATTTTCAAATGTTGACACTGCTGTCATGGAGTCCTATTCTATAGTCTTCTGATTTTTCATCATATTACTGTAGGGGACACATTAATATAATTCCAGAAATTCTAGTATGCTGCTGGGACGTGTATCTCAAAGCACTGTTTGTAAAGATTTCATTAAAAAGAGTAAGTATGAGAGTTACACAGTGAATTTATGTGGAGGAATGTCAGAACTTCCACGTTGTTATGAAGAACAGAGGAACAATGTTAAAGGCAAACTTTTGAGGAGTAGCCCAACCAAATGTTTGAAGAAAAATGAGAGGTATAACAATAATTAAAAAAAAAATGTAGCTATTTTTTTCTGTTAGCTAACAGAAAGCAGTATTTTATTGGCAGTGATTTTTTTTTCTTTGTTTTTTTTTTCCTCTTCTTTTTTATCTCCTGGAAGCAAGCATAGAGTGGATTGGTAAAGAAGAGGAGCTGATTCCCATAAGTGACAGGGAAATTTTTGCCTGCAGGCCAGTTCATGATAATGCACATACTGGCGGCTGAAATCTTTTCACATATCTGGCAACTCACCCTGGGATAGGGATGAAGTGATTATCTCTGGCCCTGCCTCTTCCTCCTGTTCTGAAGCCTCTGCTTCCTCTTCATCCCTCACTAAGTGAACTGATTTTTGTCATGGGTTTCTTCTTCTGTGAAGAGACAGCTGCTACCAGCACAGGTTCCTCTGGTTCAGCTGCAGTTTTGACTGGCCACAGTGTCTGTTGGTCTGCTTTCCTACTCCTCCTCCTGAGGGTGCTGTCTAGTTTCGAGCAGTGTCTGATAAACAGTAGCCAGGCCCCAGCCCACTGCATAACGTTGCACCTCTCTGAAACTGCCACGGCATTTTTCTTTCAAATATTCTGCCACTTCATCAGAGTTGTTCGGGGGTGAACTTTCAAAGCATTGGAACAGAGTAATCCTTTGAAAGCTGGCCCATTTTCTCTTGCTTTCCATGCCACTCATGGCTCTATCCATCCTCAGGACAGACCTCTGAACAACCTCCCTGGAAATCTCTTTCTTAACTCTAAACATCGTATGGATCGCCCTGAGGAAAACCGGCAGACTTAGCAACAAGAACATTTTTTCCTTAACATCCAAAGGGAATTAAAAATTCTGAAATAAAGTTGTAACAGGCTTGAAGGAGGAAAAGGGTGTGAAAAGCTAGGGAAAATCATCCTCCCCTGTCCCCCCACAGACTGGGTGTGATTCTTAATGGACTCTGAAAGGTAGTGCCTGAGGTACGAGTAGGTGTTCAGCAACACTGAATACATATCCCAAACGGCCCTCATGGCCTTGATGTCATGTCATAAACTGATATTCCACAGTACATCAACAAAGCAATCCTGATCCCTCTCCCTGCTCTGAAGAATAACATCCCGAGGAGCACACAAAGAAATATATATACAGGGTTAGGTACCATGCCCATATGAACAAACCAAGCAGCACTGTGACCAGTGGCTCTGTACCTAATACAGCAAATGCTGAAGTAATATTGGTTTCCAGCTTGTTCTGGGCAGATCTGTTGTTATCTCAATCCTTCATGCCTCACAGTAGGCACCAAATAAGGCTGTCATGGTTTAGGAATGGTACTCCCCAATTTAGGGCTTCCACTGAGACTCTCCAGACCACACTCTCGCTCCTCTCCCACTCCTGCAACAGAATGGAGAGGAGACTTGGAGACACAAAAGGTAAAGATCACAGTTTGAGATAAGAACAATTTACTAGAAACAGCAATTATATAAGGAAAAGAACAGTAATAACAGCAACAATATTAGTAACAAAGGTGTACAAAACAGAGTAAATTACATCCAAAATGCTCATCACAGAGCCTGACCCTACCTAACTGCAGGCACGCTGCCCTGACTGCTCTCTCCAACTTGGAACTGGCATTACCCAATCTCTCTGCTGCCCACATGTACTCAACCAGAAGGACCCCTTTCTTTCCAGAAGAGACTCCCTTTCTCCTGCACCTAGCAGTGACTTGAAGTGGTATAGAATAACCTCCAAGTCTCAGCTATGCCTCTCCTGGCTATGGCAAAAATTTATCTTGGCTCCTGGCTGGAACCAAGACAACACGAGAATTCAGAGTGGTCCTAGGTAAGCACTGGAAATGTTTACTAAGCAAAATTATATATATGAGTATAGAAGAGCAGTAGTGATACATGATCAAGGGAAATTGCAACACCATTATGGTAAGAAAACTTCGTATTAGTTTATAGCATCCACTTTATGCCTTATTTCCATTATAAAGTTTTGAACCACGCAATAGCTGTCAAAAAAATAGTTTGTTAGAGTGCTGGAATTTAAAGATCATTACAGCATTATATCACAGCATGGACATCAAATAGTAAAAACAGTGCTCAAAAGATAACTAGGAAAGAAGAATCTATTACTACTTTGAATTACTTTAATTGTGGGGATGTATTTCACCTCCCTGAATGCTTCGCAGTCCATGCCTGATGTTTTGCTCATGAAGCAGATTCACCTGAGTGGACAGCTTCCTGTGTAAAGGACATTGGTTAGGAACATTGATGAAACAGTGTCACTGAATTCAATATGGTTGAATTATAAGTTGCTTGTTATAATATAAGTTGCTTGTTATAATATTGCATTAAATATCATACTTTTCGTTCATCTGTAGGAGCTGGAAAATATCATTGCTCAAATGATGCATGTTGCAGAATACCTTGAATGGGATGTTACTGAACTGAGTCCAGTAAGTATCCATTTTATCACAATTTTTTAATGTTGCTAGAGATAGCATTTTGTGATATTTCATGTCGACATGTGAATCTATATGTTAGTAAGATAGAAATAAGAGTTGTCTGTGTTCCACTATGGCACTGTCAATTAGCACTTTTACAAGTATTTTGCTGATTGAATCTAATCTGTGAAACATTCTTGCTACAGTTTAAGGGTTTTTTTCAATGCATGTAGTAATTAACTTTTATAACACAACTGGCTCATCTCTGAAAATTTCTTAAAAGTAACTGCAAGTACAGAGGGAACCCAACTTAGTTTGAGATCTTTCAATGATAATAAAATGTAAATAGGAATATGACACTTCATTTTCTGAACTCATTTTACTACAGCTGCCATACAAATAATATTTCCCTTACTTTTTGTGTGTGGATGAGGGAGTTGGAGATCTGCACATATTCTAACAAGAAGTTGCTATATTAGAATATAATAATAAAAAATTAGAATTTATGAGATTTTTCATTAAACTGTGTAGATTCTTCATGAAATGATGGAAGAAATTGACTATGATCATGATGGCACTGTTTCTCTAGAAGAGTGGATCCAAGGAGGAATGACAACAATACCACTCTTGGTCCTCCTTGGGTTAGAGAATGTAAGTATTAAATAAGAGTGTCAAGTCTCTGCTTGCATGTAAGTGTGGACCTCAGGCTGGTTTCTCTGAGGCCTGTATGAAGAATACTTTGCTTTACTTTTCTTCAGTATGGCTGAATGACATGCAAAGAGCAAAAGTGCATTTTCAAAGGCAGAGTTACCATTACCATGTTTGAAGCTCCACCAAATAAGCGAGCTCTGGAGCTGGAAGCTGTAAAAAGCTGATTAATTTGCCCTGCTAACAGCATGTTGTTAATTCCTAGCTGTAGAATTATTTGTTAAGAATGTCTTACTGTGCATGTGTATGTTACAGCTGACTTGGAGCAGTGTCTAGTATTCTCAGCATGGTACTGGATTCTGTGGCCGAATTGTACTGAGTCACAGAACAATCTACATTGAAAGAACTTCTGGACATCTGGTCAAGTCTCTTATTAAAGGCAGGGCCATGGATTAAGTTATCCAGGGCTCTGTCAAACCTAAATAATTCCAATGAGGCAGATTCCACCAGTCCTGTGGGCAAACTCTCCCTGTGTTAATTGTTCTTAAGGGAAAGAGCTTTTGTTCTTATGAGCAGAGGGAATTTCTTCTGCAGCAATTGTTGCCTGTTGGCTCTTTTCCTGTCAGAATACATCCCTGTGAAGATATTCCATCTCTGTGACTACCTTAATAAACTATACTAAGTAGCAATATCAAAGGGAACACTTACACCAAAGGATAGAGTGTTATGAAAGATGAACTTGTGTTCTGTACATTTACAACTTCACATTAAAGATAATACAGATGTAATATGATCAGTTTGGGACTAGTTAAATGCAACTTTTTAAGACTGGCATGTTGCCAGTGCCACCTGCTGTCCTGTATCTGAGCTAATTTTGAACACGTATCTAAGCATATGTTTCAAATGCTTTTCTGTTATTTGAAAGAAAATATTTTTATTTCATCTTTTCCTAATTAATTTTTAGATATTGAGGTGAAATATTAAATAATATTTATTTTCCTCATATAGTTCTATGGCTTCAACTAAATCTAGACTGCTGTAGTTGCTCTATGGTATTTTATTTAGACAAAGAATGGTCAGACTGAGACTTTGTGTAGGAAAATATGTAACAAACCAGTTTGTTGAACAGAAGATCTGTAAGTCTTGCAAAATCTTAATAATCAAATTACAAGCAAAACACCTGAATTTCAGTGTATTTGGATTACTGTAAATAGTAATTCTCTAATTCTATATGTGAGACTGAGTAACAAAAATGTTAAATTGCTTCCCTGTCATCAAAGAGATATTTGTCAGGCCGAATTCAATTATTTACGCGCAATTACTTTAAACAAAGGGCACCAAATGCTCTCAAGCAATCAGTACAGTAGATAACTGATAGTCACTTTGAGCACAGATTTTTCTTTTGTGACAGGTAGTATAGAAGTTCTGGGAGTAGTTTTCAGTGTCTACATTTCATTCTTTCTAAATTTGAAGCTCATTAAATTATGGCATAAATTAATGCAGCTCCTTCTGTAGAGGTTTATTTTCATACTAAAACATGATTCTCCTTTTGAGTGTTTTTACTAGTTATCATGCTGCATGTAGCTTTACTATGGAAATAGTAAAAATGCACAAATAGTGATCAAAATTCTATAACCTGGTATCAGTATGGGCCAGTGTTTTCATCATCAAGAGTATTACTAGTTCTTGATGCATTTAACGGACATAAGCATACAGTTGTAGAAAAATAGCATGTAAAATATTTTTTTTATTATATTTTTGGATCAATAAGCATAGTTCATTATTCTATGGTTTTTTAATATTCTACTTTACTGTGAATGAAGTCCATTACCTACATATGAGCTAATTTGCTAGTCATTTGCTAATGATTCACTAGGAGGTGATGCCACCCTTTAAAAGGGCTCTCCTATTTCTTTTGATGTTTAGAACTGCTTAATTTTTTAAACCATTTGAAAAATATGTAGAGAAAAGCAAAATTTTTATATTTTCTTCAAATGAGCAGAAATTTACTACTTCTCTTTGTACCCAGTTCTAAATGATCATCAAATCGAAGTGTATTTTAGGACACTGAAAAGTGAAATCAATAAAGTTAAAACTCTAATGCCTGTCTGTCATTATTTTGTGTAAACTGATAACATGGTTTTAATGGTTTTAGAGCATCTAATGTATTACCCAAGCACTTCATTCCGGTGCATCATTCCCATTAATGGGATGCCGTCATTTTTTTTTACATATTGTTGTTAGATTTTGCAAACCTAGCTTCCCAAGACTCTGATTTTTTTGGCTGTCTTTCTCCTTTTAGTTATGATAATAAAAATTAAGATAAGAATCTTTTGAATTCATTAATCAAATAATAAAGTGTTGATATCTTAAAGTTTTCCTCAAGCTGACTAGTATGTGAAAATAAGTGGCATAACCTACTGGCTTATGATGTGTAGACATTTCCAGCTGCTCGTCACATGTTGAAAAAGAGAGAAAAAAACCCCAACAAAAACAACAAAACCACACAAAATCATTTAAACAAAAACAAGCAAACAACACCCCAAACCAAAAGAAAAAATGGTCAAGAAACCAAAACCCACCAAACAATTCTACCACCTTCTTTTACCTTTAGTTGAGTATGATTTGGTTCTCTGCTGAACTCAGCAATGACAAAATTTTAAATCCAAGAATCCTCTCTCTCTTTCTTTCTTCCTTCCCCCCGCCTTTTTCCTAGACTTTCATGACATTTCCAATGCCCTTTTAAATTTCTTGGAGATTACTAAACTAATTTCTAAGTTGCTGGCACAGTTTAGAGATCAATTCCAGAGCTTGTCTAGTGTGATAGTGACAAAGAATTGTCACTGTAGTGTATTTAAATAAATTATGACACCAGTGAAATGTTTAATTTGTTTTGGGTTGGGGTCCATTAACACTGTAATATACTTAACTCTTGTACAGGGCTTGGACGAACTATACAAAATTCTCAGCTGGTGTAATTTGTTGTACTAATATCAGTGAAACTATGATAATTTATTTCAGCTGCAGATTGTCATAGTACTTTCAGCTACAATGTTTCTACTTAATCCTTAGTTTCCTTTAATAGCTATACAGAAAGGTCAGGTATCATAAAAGTTCTATATTACATTTAAATCCTTTCAATCAGTTTTTATTACATAGTGTATTAGGTGATTTAGTTACAATAATTGAAAAAAAAAGAATCATTTAAACAAAGTACGGAACTACATTATACAAAAATAAAAGAATAAACAACTTAGTGTTTATGAACAGCAGTGTTGTGATAGCCTAAACTCTCACAGGTTTGTGGTCTTTGCCCTCTGACCACAGCAGTCATCCCAGTATATATAAGGATAATATTAGGTTGTTACTACAATTATTAGCTAGCCACCTGTTAACAAGTCAAAGGAGTAACAAGGAAATTTGCCTGATTTCCCTTCTGTGCATGCACTCTCTCTTTCTCTCTCTTTTTTTCTTCCTTCCCCCAGCCTTTTTCCTAGACTTTCATGACATTTCCAGTGCCCTTTTAAATTTCTTTGAGATTACTAAACTAATTTCTAAGTTGCTGGCATAGTTTAGAGTCAGGGAGATAAAGGGACAAAGACCATAGAAAGGTCTCATTTCCCTAGGAAATCAGCCTAAATATCCAGTTTGCTTTATCCTTCTGGGTTTTATGCTCTATTTCCTCCTAAGATTTGATTTTGAAGTTGCTGTGAAGGTAGAATTTATAAATACTGAATTTTATTTTATTTTTTTTATTTTATTTTATTTTATTTTTAAATACATTTTATCTCTGAAAATGTTGCAGAATAGAAACAATGTATTTGAAGTGTGATGCTTTACAAGGCAATTGATCTGCTAAACAAAACAATTTGGGTGCAAGATAAGGAATTTAAATAAGAACTGAATTAGTTCTTTTTCTATAGGGGTTCTGTGGTACACATACTTTTTGGCAATTTGTTTTAGAAGAAAAGACCTTGGGGCTGTTTACATGTATAATCCATTTGTACTTGGACGACTATCCTTTTTCCAATTAGAAGTGACTGAATGTGTTCTGTGCAGAAGCTACTGAAACCTTGGTTGTTAAGACGAATAATTCTTTATCTGATGTTTAGTTGTTCCAGTTTTGTGGATTTTTTTTCATGCAATTCCCTCATGTAAAATGAGAATTTCTTGAATAAAAAGAAAATGTTAACTGTAGAGGAAATAGTTATCTGTGTGGTGTAATTTTTAATAATAAGTGTATGAGGTAGAGTTTTTTGCTGAGTGGTACACTTTATTCTGCAATTATCGCAATCCTCACCAACTTTCCAAATTTAATTTTGCATCTTAAGGGAATAGTTTGTCTCCCATCCAAACACAAGTTGGACAGAGATATCCCTGCAATACTCCCGGTTGGTAATTACACTTTTGGGAAGTGGCCTATTGCACACTGGTGACCACTAGGCTACTTATTCTACTTGTCTACAGTAGCAACCTTCAGTTTCTGACCTTTTTATTCCATTCTGCATTAATTTTAGATTAACATTGTAAGTGAAGGTGGAGAGTTACCCTATTGACTCTCCTAGCATTGCTTAAAATTTCCTTTGTAATCTGAGCACAAAAAGCCTCTGAAGTACAGGTTTGGTCAGCCATTTGCATTGTACTCTGCTCTTTGGTAGGAGTTCCTCACTTGTACCATATTATTCCACCCTGCTAGGGTAAAAGCATTTGGTTTCTCTTGTAAGGTAATTCCACGCAAGATATTTTGGTCCCACTTCTCCTGTAACAGATCATTCCTACCACCTCTGTCAGTGATTGTGCAAAATGTAGGTATAAAATGCAAGTTCCGAAGTACTAGAGTTTAAAGAAATCTCATGTTTTAGGAAATGTTTTTATTTCCTCTTCGCTGGCCACTAGATGTCATGGTTGCACTATATCTGGTACTGTACAGTTGCTGAAAAGCTGCTTTAAGGTGAGAGAGAAATTGAACACCAGCAAATCCTTCATAAAGTTATCAATAATCTGTAATCTGACCAATATGCCTTTCTTTTAAGTCACCGATTGTAATTTTCAACCCAGTTCACCTTTTAAGTCAAGGTAAATTTCAATGTGACCAACGTTTTTGTTTTATTGTGACTATGCTTCAATTAAATAATAAGAAAATACTCCAAAATTTTATTTTGGATCCTCAAGCAGCAAATATTATGTGATTTCACTCAAATAATTTAAAAAGCAAATTTTTAAAATTTTTTTTATTAAATATGGGATAGAATACTGTAGCGTGAGTCCGCACTTGGGAAATACTGCTTCTTACGTTGATATTATATTATTATTACCTTACTATTTGAGCTCTGCATATGTGAAAGTGGAACCAAACTGGAGATGTGCAAACATTTGCAAGCCTAGAGTTGTATCTGTTGATACAACTACTGTGAGTAGTCCCTCCTAGGCTGGGCAGACTGCTGGGCAGTTTCATAGACTTCTATTTTGTTCAGTGAGGAAAGAAGGTGATACGGCCTTTTATTGTCCTGAGAGACCTTTCTCTAAGTCCTGTCTGAAGTACGGCAGGTAACTTTTCTAAAAGGCTGAAGTGCCGATACACCATATACTATTTCCATACGTCCAGAGGGTAAACTCAAGCCCCTGCTAGAAGCTGTAGCTTGCCCGATTTGTGCCAGCTCCTTCCCAGCTGGAAGCAGACTCCCCCAAAGTGATAAGGCGAGCTGTTTTACCGGTGTCATTTCACAGCATCGCCAGCAGAGACCGCGATGTTATAATGCTTTGTGAGCCTTTGGCAGCGGGAGCTGCTAAAAAAGTGCTCGTCTCTGCTGACTTTTATGCTGTGCTAGCTCCCACTTCCTTGCAGGAAGTTTGCAAATGCCTTTTCTTACTACAGTCACTCTTTTCCTTTTGTCTTTAGTTTGATAGAAGCTCAGGAAAAGCCAGGAGTGACTAACCTGTTCTGTGTATAAGGTGTAAAGTAGATGGTATTTTATGCAGGTATACAAATTTACCTTTATTTACAATTTAATTTCTGCAGCATTAGAGTCTCTTTAGATGAGAGATGGGGTCGGGGAAACTTAATGCTTTGGCTTTTTATGAAGCTTTTTTAAACAATTTTCCCTCTAGTGGGAAAATTTTATTTCTGGATGAGTGCGTGGATGAAGACTGGAAATTTTTTGTTTGGTTTGCTTTCTCCAACACACATGCACAATATACCTCAGAAATTAGAAGTGAGGAGCCTTCCAAATAGGATATCCCTCGAATGAGGTTACTCCCTCTCCAGCTGAACCAGAAGATACTTAAAACCCCCTCTTCCCAAAACAAATTGAATAAAACGAAACCTGATATTAATTCTTTGCTGAAACCAGTATAGAACATAACTGCGTTTGTAATAAAGGGAAATGCTGCGTAGTTTAATGGACACTCTTCTCACCTTTCACACTGGCTGAACAGTACCCAATGATCAGTCATAAAATTGTCTTGAACAAGTCATGTAAATAAATTTAAATATATTTTTTAAATAAATGGAAGCAAAATAACAGGCAGGGAAAGAGTAACAGCTACTCAATAACATCCTTCTCATTTGGATGCTTGTTACTGACTTCTCACTGAAAAGACTGAGCATGCTGTTATTGCAGACACACTGTAGCTGTTTAAAGACGATGTGTTTGCTAGGATCAAAATTTATCAATGGTTTCATTACCTTTTTTAAGTCTCAGAATCTTGAATTTTGTGCTTGAAACCTGAAGATCACTTTGGCTGCCTTTATCTACAAATATCTAAAAAGCTGAAGTAAGTTAATATTAAACCAGATTAGGGATGTGTAGCTGAATTCTGTGACAGCATGAAATTTTCCACTAATTCTAAAGCTGACTCTTTTATGGTTGACTTGCTTTTTAAGGTCAGGTCATCTCGGCAGTCAAATCCATGGTAGGAGGGTCAGGACCATAAGTTAAGAGAACTGTTGTTAACAAAATAAATGTTGCTATTGTCATTATGTGTTAAAGTCTGCCTGTGACATATGGAGGCTTGATTTTCAATGATGTGTATAATGAAGTGAGGAAGAGATTTTTACTGTACCTGCCCTGCTTTGAGTTCTTCTCAATGTCTATTTGTTTTTAAACTCTTCCTCAGGATATGGATGCAAAATGAGTTAATGTCAGTAAATGCACTGATGTGTCAGAATTGTGGATTTTATTCATACTTAAAGACTTGCATTGAAGGGGCTTTATTTTGTATTATGTCTTTTTTTTTTCTTTGGCAGTGTTTTAAAAAGTTATGTGCATACATAATCATACGCAGCACTTTATTGCTTATTTTTGGCAGTGCACAAGAGCAAAAATTTAATTTGTTCTTTTCCAAAAGTGCATTGTGTTTATGTAATGGATTTGCATCAGTTGCAGTCTGTAACACAGCTAAGTGTTTTAATTGGCAGAACACCCACATCAAGACTTGTTTGTTTTTCTGATAAGGAAAATGCCAGCTAAGTTAGACCATATGTTCTGTTCAAATAAGAAGTAGCATATTCACATGTAATGGTCATTCTTTAAAAATAAAATTAAAATGAAAAAGTAACACAAAACTAGTGTAGAAGAGGGGCAAGTTTATGCATAAGTATGAATTTCTCTTAATTTTCACAAACAGCAAGTATTTTGCCAAGGAAAGCTGGTCAGCTCACATTTTAAGTGCTTGTGGTTTATGACTGTATCTGTTGATGACCTGAGTGATGTTAAAATCAAAGTGTAAATTGTTTGCTGTTTTTTCTCAGAAGGATTTAGATTGTCTTTATTGTCTACTTTCAGAAGACTTGAAACTCACAACCTATATTGTAGTTTAACCATACTTTAAAAACGTGTGGAATATGGGAGTAAGATGGGAAGAAAAATAGACGTTACAGAGCTCCATGTAATGAAATACATCCTCTTCAGCTGCCAGTCATGAAGGAGCTTGACAGGCTTCTAGTGCTTCACAGCTGCAGAATCTATTTCTGCTTCTTCAGGGGAAATTGGAAAACTTCCACACTCTTTGCCAGCCTAAGAATCCCACATTAGGCATCTGCTGTGCTTTTTCTGCAGAAAGGGGACCCTGACATTGCCCAGCTGTCAGAGAAGGTATTTGAACTCCTGCTGATAATACTGGGGAAGCTCCACTTAGGCTCTGATCCTGATATCTCACTAGAGAAAAAAAAGTATTTCAACTGACTTCAGTTCCTTTTGTTTCTAGGTAGTTTGCAGGAAATATTCAAAGTGGTGTTCTGACTTAGACCTAGCTCCGAACCAAACATTCTAAATTTGTTAGAGTGCTGATTTTCCATTAGGATTTATTTTCTTTTTGCCCACAAGGATGAAGAAGTCTTCCTCATATTTGACTTGTTGTAACAGCTAACTCCTAGAACAGAACAATACTGATTTTAAGGACATAACGTGTATAGTATATGCTAATATAGGACAAAACTGAATTTTTATTAAAATTTATGCCCACTGACTTACATTGACTGTCCTTACCAGTGAAAACCATCATACTATTGAAACTCTAGTCAAAAATATTGTCTATACATGATGACAAGTAATAGTAGTAGTAGTTGGATGTGAGAAATCAGAAACTAGATAAGAATCAGCTGTTGATGTGGTTTCTGAGAAACAGATTGGTGTGACTCCCTTTAGCTATGTGACAATTTCTTTTTGGTAATGACATGACCAAAAGACTATAGAGCTTCAGCAATACACAATGAAACATCAAACTACTGCATCTGCTTTCCAGCTGATAGACAGTAACTGCTGTTATTCCACTGGATGTTATATTTGTTAAAACATAAATAAAAATTTAAAAAAATATCATGATATTGCATTAGGTTAATGTAATTATTTTTTAAAAAAAATTAAAACCTCTGAAGATTAAAAAAAGCAAAAGCCTCATGGCCAGACTTGCCAAGAAGCCAGGAATTTAGAGAATTAATTTAACGTCTGTATCAAGTGCAAATAATTTTTTAAACCATCAAATAACAGTGGGATCTCAGAATGATTCCATTAAGGAAGAGGAGAATCATGCAATAGAAAGCTTAATTTCATAAATATAAATGATTTGATGATATTTTAGTGGTTTGTATAAGTTACAGTGGGCCCCTGAGTTGTTTAGTGCCGATCAGTTGATCAATTTATTCATGCAAGATTTGAGTATACTGCTACAGCTGACTGAAAAATGTGGGCTTAAAACTAAGGAATTCTATTTCTGGAGAAGAGGTCCAGGGTGTAAATCTCACCCTTAAATAGGTGGGTTTTGATAGATTATTGGCTGTATAGGGTAGCATAAATTAAAGCTGGCAATAGTTATTGTGGTGTGGTTAGTTTTCCCACTTCGCAAATGTTGGTATGTGTTCCTAATTCTAAGAGTCATTAAGAATATCTGTGCAGTTTTAAAAAACCCTTTCTATTGTTTGTTTTGGCGAGTTTTATCTTCTAACCTGCAGCACCTTTATTTTTAGGATTAGTCTAGAATAAATTTTATTTTTAATACTAGTTGTAATAATGCCTAGATATCTGGATAGAATTGTTTTTCAGGGACAACAGCAGCCTGGTGGTTTTTTTTGAAACACATGGATGTCCATGAACTTCTGAAGAATTTTTTTGTTATATCATTGCCTGTGTATTTAGAATGATTATGCTGTGATCTGGTACAGAGTATTAAAATGAAGTAACAGCTTGTCTTTTACGTTCTTGAGTCAATCTCCAATTTTTACTGGCACTTATATATTTCATTGTTTATTTTATTAAGTGAAATCTGTTTCTTTTATGTCCTGTGCAGAATGTGAAAGATGATGGGCAGCATGTATGGAGATTGAAACACTTTAACAAGCCTGCCTACTGTAATCTTTGTTTGAATATGCTAATCGGAGTAGGCAAGCAAGGTCTCTGCTGTTCTTGTGAGTATAAGCATTTCGGTGTCCATGTGTATACATGTCAATTCCTAGAAATGTTGCTCTTGCTACATAACAAAGAACTCATAGCTTCCCAGTACAAAGCCATTGCTAGCACAGTAATGTCTCCCTCTTGTCTTCAATGCTTGAGCACTCAAGGTTCTTTTTTTAATTTTTCAGCTTATTTGGCTTTTAAATGTGTTGTTTGAGGGAGTTTTCTCTTTTATCAGAAACAATTTTACAGTTATCATGATTAGTTCCCTTTGGAGTCTGCCACTCTTTTTTTTTTTTAATTCTTGGGGTGTTTTTTTATTTTTCGTTAGCAAGTATCATGCTTAAGTTTCAGCCCTATAGTTTTTTCAGCCCTATTCCTCTTTTTTTCTTGTTAATAATTATAGATATTCTTTAAGAGGTACATTGACAAACATCTAAGTCCCGTGTTTGTTGATTCAAATTTTGCACAGAATTCTTGTTCTGTTAATTGTGAAGGTTAAAATCCCAGTTTCCCAGAAATCAAGTTTCTGTAACAGTTCTAAAGTTTTGTATAGTACCTGGGTTTGTATTCATTAATTTCAATCCACGTATTTACTGATTATATATTTTAAGGTAAAGGACAACAGAAAATCTATTGCATCTAATTTGACCGTCTTTAGACTATTAGGTGCAATCACTGGCATTCAGTTCCTTGAGTTGTATCTATGCATATCCTAATAATCTGTGTTTGACCAGCTCATAAAGTGTATCTTGAGAAACCAAGGCTTTATGAAAGATACCTTGTCTCCATTTGAATGTTTCAAGAGATGGATGATCCATATCTTTCTTTTGTGGTGTGTTCCCATGATTGATCATCTTTTTTTTTAAGACCTATTTTCTGATTTGAATATGTCTTGTAAATGGTTCCAATGACTGCTTCGTGTTATGCCCTGCTCCATTAGATTAATGAGATCTTTAGTACCCACTGTATTCTTCTCAGGATGGTACCAAGTCACCTTTCATTGTTCTTTTTGGTAAATTAATCAGTTTCTTAGTGTAACTTACTTTCTCCATTTTTGGTATGAAAGATAGCCCATCACAGATGATCAGGACCTTTCTGCCTGTATATTTCTATTGGTTTAATTTGAGATTAGTAGGAAAGAATGACGGTTTTGAATTGATCTGTGGGCCACAGATCTCTTTAAAACATAATTTCGATATAAATCCTTGTGTGGATTTTCACATCATATAATTTCACTCATGGTACTATGAAATGAGAGAGATATATCTTTTAAAATTCAAACAAATAGAAATTGCATAACTTCAGGTTATTAAATGCTTATGAGAGTAACTGGAATATATATGTATATAAAATGCTGATTTGACTGTTAGATCTTGAAATGTTATATTCTTTAATATTCTTTTATGTCAGACTGATGTTTTTTCTACTGCAGTGTACCTCTTTAGAATGTATTTCTTATTGTGCTTGGCGTTTATTTGCTGAGAACAGTGGTCTCAAAGTATCTGAAGAACATCCACATGCTCCTTTCAGTTACTTCATGTAGGAAGAAGCATGAGTCTACTTAAAAAACTATTTCACTATTTCTCTATCTTGCTAAGCTTTTTCTTCAATATATTTTCAAAGCATTGCTATAGATTTCATTATTTGCATTTTAGATTGTGTGGGAGGAAAAAAAAAAAAAAGGAGAACCGTAGGGGGCCTCACCATCCCTCCATGGTCCAATCAACAATGTTACTCCCTGCAGTTTGTCTGATTAATGGCTGCGCCTCCCACTGGGTTTGTGTAATAGGTGCAAGCAAGGTGTTTAGAAGTACTTTGTGCTTAATTGCTCTCGAGGTCAAAAGCGTGAGACACCGTGCAGGGAGAAATTCATTCTCAGTTTTTAATAGTTGACTCCCTTGAATGCAGGCATAAGCTATAACATTATTTCCTTATCTTGGCACAGTTATATCGTTGAAGTCAATAAAGCTTTGCATTGTATCGTGATATTTGTGTTTTCCAAATGCAGCCTGTGTGATCTGGTCACTACAGACCTGGTCAACTGTAGCAGTTACCTAAAGGTGATGTGGAGGGCTTAGGGGATAAAAAAAAGACTTCTCAGGAGTTGGTATTTTGGAAAATAAGAGTTAAAGTAGTTAAATATATGGTGGTTACATGGAATGCATGAAAACAATTGCTATTTGAAAATTGATTAATCAGCTATTTAAGATTTATAAATCAATAGAAGGAATAACAAATTAATTGGGTTTTATTTTTGTACTTGCCAGCTGCTCTCATGCCTATAGTTCATAAAATATAGATTTCTTCTTACTCGCAAATGACACCATTTGGCAGTCATCAATTTATCTTTAATATTTTTGTCATTTGGAAATTATTGTGAAAAAATTTAGCGATCTCTGATTTAATTAAGCATTTCCTGTTATGCAATGATAGTGCATTCTTGGATTTCTCACTTGCATAATATTTCCTGTTCTAATTGGCCTTTTGTATTCCATGGAAAAAGCAGTCTAGTTTAAGTTTTCATTGACTGATTGGATTGATTATTCAGAGATGGCATGCTGGTAATGTTATTTGTTTCACAGAAATGTAGTCAGAAACACCATTGCCTCAACATTATTAATGTGTTTCTTTTTTGCAGTTTGCAAGTATACAGTCCATGAACGCTGTGTCTCAAGAGCTCCCGCATCTTGCATCAAAACATATGTGAAGTCTAAAAAGAATACTGAAGTAAGTTTGGGGTAGCATGAACTTTGCCGTGTACCTGTTAATTTAGTAACTTTATGTATATTCGCTTTTTTCTTTTGCAGGTAATGCACCATTTCTGGGTAGAAGGCAACTGTCCAACCAAATGTGATAAGTGTCACAAAACTATAAAATGTTACCAAGGCTTGACTGGACTTCACTGTGTTTGGTGTCAGATCACAGTGAGTATACTATAGTAAAACCTTTAGCATGGGTTAGAGAGATAAAAATCATAGAATATTTTTCTATAGCCTAATAATTTGAAAGGTCTCATTCAATTTTGTCATCAGCAATGGCTAATGTGTGTTTATGGGATGGTATATACAGAATATTCTTAGGACTCCTTAATTGTGGCAAGCCAATACTCTTAAAGGTGTGCTTCACTTCATGACAATATCCAAATGAAAGTAATGTATGTCACTCTAAAGAGCAGAATTCCCAACCTATGCTACGGAAAGATTACAAAAGCATTTTCAGTACCAGGGAAAATCAAGGTCACTGTGACACCAGGGCAAAGTCCTAATTTGTGGTGTATTGACTAGCAAATGAAATTGAGGATACCTTGTAGGATACAATGATTCCAAGTGTTGGGGAACAATAGCAGAGACATGTTGATAATATACGAACCTGTGCACCAAGTCTAATATATACAACTTTTGAGCACTCCTTATTCAGCAGGAACCAATAACTGAAACTAATGACATTCAGGGAACACTGCCCTTATAAGTGAGATCTTCATGCTAGAAGGAGCAACACCAGTATTTCTGTTTCTAGCCAGGGCAGGATTTAAATCTAAATGGGGAGAGATTCAGCCTTCTTCACAGGTTTTTGCTGGGTTTGCTGATATCATTACTATTATTGTTATTGTTATGGAACAGCAGTTGTTTGTTCAGTGCTTTAAGTAATAATATGAGACTGAGGCATTTGTGAATGTTTGTTTTCAACATACAAGTTAGGATGTTTTATGACATATTTTCTTAACACAAGAATACAAAATATGAAACATCATCAAAGAAAATAGATCCAGGATACTTTCAGTGATAAGCTGTTATGATTATTTAAAAACCAATATTTTAGAAGAAAGCAAATATGTAGTCCAGATTGCTGTCAAAATTTGGATAATTTATGTAGAGAATAAAACGCCCAATCCAAATTTTTTTGCGTGCAGATAATTAAATTTAGGCAATGGCTATATGTGTTTAGCAAGACAAATAAGAGTGTTCTGCTCTCTATATTAGAAGTGTTTACATCTGTATAATATGTGTTTGTCAATCAAGAAATACATAGTATGTAAGGCTCCCTCTTAAAGTCAAAGGAAGTTTCAAATTCTGTATCTCCTCAGTAGAAATGATTTTCTCATTATTTTGTGTGAATCTGGACCAGATTTGTAAAGGTTTTTTACTCCTTGAAGATGAATGTCAAGATTCAGAGGATTTTCATAAGAGCTGGTATTCACTGAAGAAATACTGAAGAATTATTTATAACTGAAATCACTGTAAGGGAAAGGAAGAGGCTAAATACTTTTGAAAATATCCTAAGTGCTTGTGTGCATATTTAAATGCCTAAATGTCTGTCAAAATTCCAATTAAAATGAGCCTGTGTTTTTTGACAGCCAAAATTGAAAATATTGGCACTGAGGTTTAAAATTTTGCAATTGTACTTCCATCAGTAATTTAAAGATTTTTTTTCATAAAATTAATGTTTATTTTAAAAATAACTTTATTAATATTTTTATTTAATTTTTATAGCTTCAGATGTAAAATAGACACATAAGTGAAGTCTGAGTATTTTTAAATACTTCAAATTACTCCTATTCACTTTGCTTGCAATTCTTTGTATTTGATATATTCTATTGCAATAACTTTATTTTCTAATAGAAATAGTTTTATTACATAAAAAAGGTATTCTAAATTTCTATCAGATACATGATTTTTGAATGGATATTCTGAAATTATATAGTTATCATCACATCCTTCACACTTTTTCAACTCCTTGTACCACACATTTATGGCTTGTAATCTAAGAGGATGCTAGCTATTACACAACTAATTCTGAGCCTCTTTCATGCATTTTAAGTTTCTGTCCTTACAACTTAATGGGGTCACTTTTGCTGTCACATAACTGAATCTAGTCCCAAAATTTAGAGGTATTTTTCACTAAGAAGGCTTGCTATACTGAGTTCTCAGGCAAACCCCTGATCCCTCTCCCGTGCACTCTGTAGTTATCTACCAAGGTCATGTAAATGTTTTTTCCCCTCATTTTGCCTCCAGCAAATACATTTTTTCCTACTTTCCAGGCTTATGAGGGATGTAATATTCTACAGGATCTAGATGGGGGGGAAATGTATTTAAAACCTGCTGAAACGATTTTTTTTTTGAGAAGAGATGCGTGTTATTTTATTTCATTGTGCAAAGTGTTATTTTCGTTAAAGCTACATATCTTCTACCATTTTTGTTATCTACTATGTGCCAATTCTGTTGTCAAAAATCAGCAGAGACTAATAAGAAGATTAAGCTATTTTTTTCATAGATAAGTTTGCGTGCCACCAAGTAGCAAAGCTGCTAATTACCACTGAATGTGTGAAGATACTTTTATTTGATGTAATGTGCCCTGGTGTGCATTAATTATGGTACAAGTAGCCTTACCACTTAGGCAGAGAATTAGCATGACAAATGATTTAGATTACAGGACTACCAAAATACTCTCACAATAAGGCTTTAAGCTCAGAGTAAATCGAAACTTGTTAGACTTTTACTTTCTGTTGCTAAGTAACTGCCTAAAAAGGTACCTTTGCAGTATAAATGAATATGGGCAATGCTAATATTAGGTGCCATTCAGTTCAAAATTCAGAAATGTTATGTCAGCATTAACTGTACCGGATAACTTAATGAAGACCATATTACAAGTAAAGTTTATATACATTAGCAGTTGGTGCAATTTTATTGTGATTTTAATAGAGTTCATATGAGTTAAATTGTGTAGAGGGAAAATGAATCAGTCATTGGAAAAATGTGATTTACAGATGCAGACGTTGAACTACAGATTTTGTAACAGATATTGAACCTGTTGAACTAATGCTGGATGCTACCTATTATACTACTTAAATCACCTGTTAATAAGATTTTTACTTTACAACTCCTGTTATTTATTAGCCTAATTATTTTTCTTTACTTCAAATATACGTATCTCCTCAAAAATAATAAGCAGCATGGGAAACCGATGTTACCTGAAGACCTTAATGCACAGTTTATTAAATCAATGTAGAAATAGAAACACAGAATAATTTAGGTTGGACAAGACCTTAAAGATTATCAAGTTCAAATTAATAAATTTTCACAAAATTTCACAATATTAGGTTTATTTCCTTCTGAGTATCTCTAATGATATTGCAAAGTATAACAATTAAATGTGAATGTTTTGCATGATCCAAGCATACCACTGTTCCTTTTTACTCTGTGGCCGGGTAGTTAGAGACATTTGAATTGAGTTAAATTCTAAATTATCAACAAGAACTCTTGATTGCTAATGCAAAGTATTTCATTAGATTTATCATTACTTGTTGCCATTTTATGTTGATGTTAAATACATATTTTTCCCGTCAACCTTTGTAGAAATACAGAAGTAAGCCAATGCTCTTTCAGTCAGCAGATCTGAGAATATTCCTTTCATGTTTTCAGAGTAGAACTCTTATCATTGCTTTCAAGACAACTGGATGAATGCTGAGAATAAATTAGAAAAAAGGAGGGTAATTCAGGTTCCTCAGAAGTGGGTGGAAGCCTGAACGTTGATTCTATCCAGACCAAAATTTACCCAATGGAACTTAAAGCTCTTAGATATTCCTATGTTATTCTCTTATATTTGAATGGGTAGTGACTATCAGCGTCAGGTAGGAAACAGAGTTACACCAAAGGCTGCCTTGAATTACTTACTGGTAGTAGAGCAGAAGTTCCTGCCTCAATGCAAGGAGCTCTATTCTGAAATGAAGGTTTTGATCACTGATAACACTATGCTGATGTTACTGTACTGCCATGCCCCATTCTTATTTTGTGTGCTGATCCACACAACAATTTCCAAACTGGAAAATACCTTAATCCACCATTCTTTGCTCCAATATCAATTCACTGGTTTTGTCAGTCCTAGGAGACTTTCCACTGCAATGTGTTTCATTTCCTTCTAGTACTCTAGTAATAATTAGGTTGATGAAACTCACCTTGTTCTAAGATGGCCATTTGTTTACGCCATAAGTGGAAAAGGTTTAAGTTGAATCTTCATTTTCTGTCTTTCTGTAGTTGCATAACAAGTGTGCTTCACATCTGAAACCTGAATGTGACTGTGGACCTTTGAAGGACCATATTTTACCACCCACATCAATCTGCCCAGTAGTATTGGTGAGTTGTCCTTATGTGTATTTCAGTTGTAATCCCCTCTCATATGCAGCGTTAAAATGATGCTGGGACTGTCGGCCAGGTATTTGTTACATTCACAGGACTATGTGAACCTTAAACACAGTGTGTAATCCTGGCTGATGCGTTTAGAGGCACGAGCATGTTTTATCCTCTGCATATTGCATTTTCCTTCATGTGAGAATGAATTTTCTGTAGGGCATATTATAACTGAAGCTGACTCAGGTTTTATCACTTATTCAGACTGTACTTACCAGAAACTGTATAGGCAGAACACTTCTACATTTTACATCTTTTATAGATCCAACTTCCCAGAATAATGAAGTTATTCTTATGAGCAGTTTTTGCTTGGGATGCATATTGTATATCTGCAATGCTGAGGTCTCTGATCTAAGCCGGAGGTTACCTAGAATGATGACACTGGTCTTGCAGTAAGCTATGCATCAATATTATGGTATATTTTATTCTGCAATCGTGGACAGTAAATTTCTCTGTCCACAAAAACAATAACTCAATTCAATGAAAATAAAAATGCATGCTATGTGTAGGTTGTATAGAAAAGAGCTGACCATTTTATCATTAAAAAAGAGCTTGAGAATTAACTTATGTGTTCACATACTAAATTGGATATTTTATGCTTATAAAAGTCATAGCATCATCATATTCATAAAAGAACAGATGAGTGGTCCTCTTTAAATATATTTCATAATAAGAGTAAGAAATGCTTGAACTTAAGAGAGAATAATTTTTTGTGGGGAGGAAAAACAAGAAGATATACCTCCTAATCCTAAACCAGTTTCTGATAACTAGGAACCATAATATTTGTGCCTATTGTAAATTAATTATTTTCTGATTAATTTGTTTGACTGTTTATAAATCTGCAAATGAATGGATGCTAGACTTTGGGATTATTCCATTGCTCTCAATGAAGGTAAAGCAATGGAAACCTGGTTTTAATATTTACGAAATATTTTTAAATATTTTTAAAAGTCATAAGACCAGTTTTGTAGTTTGTCTGTATCGTATTTTGGTATCATCTGGACAAGCTCTGATTAATAATTGTAAAATATTATTTTAAGTTTGTTGGATGATTACATTCTGCAGTATGTTATTTAATTTTCAGGATTTTAGGTCATACTTTAAAAGTCAGCATTTGGAATTTATGATTTTGTTATTGGGCTGTTTTCATTTTAATGTTATTTATCATTTGCCATTCTTATAAATGGAATAAACCTCAGCATGAAATTTCATCTTCAATTATATTGGTGTAACTCCATTTTCTTTTCAGGAGAGGAAGAGGAATAGAGGAATTAAGATTTTTATTCCACAATTGGAGTTTAGTTAAGTTGTTTAGAGGATATGTAAAACCACTCTAGAGTCAAATCACCCTTGAATAGGTTTGTTTTATCTCCAAATTTTGAAGGCATAAGCAGAAGTAAATATGTTTTCCTGTATCAGAATCATATTACTAACAACATAGCACAAGACATGTATTTCAGCACAATGTATATTGTTAGGAATGGAAAATGTATTTTACTGTGATTTAACAGGGACTTAAAAATTTTGTAGTATATTTGCTCATCTAGCAGTTTCTTCCAAAAATGCATTACAATCTTGAGTTTACTTATGTTACAAATAGTATCTCAGTGACCTAACTAATAGAAATTCCTTCTAAAAGTGATTGGTTATTGTGTATATATTATTAGTGTTGATAATTTTTAATTAGTTTCTTCTATTTCCTGTTACGGGGATTCCTTTTGAGAAAGGTAATACTTCAATGTATGTGAACCAGCACTCTCAATAATGACAGCAAAACCAATGAATATATCTTTGTCAAAATTGTCTAAACATAAGTGTTTGATAATAAAAATTCTGTGTTTAGACATATCAAATCTGATATACCTGACAGTGTAAGGGTCTTTCAACTAAGACACAGATTTAGATTCAATAATCAGATGAGCAATAAAATTCTTGCAATGCTACGTTTATGTGAAATGTAAATAAAAGTAGATAACCACAATGCTTGCCGTACTAGGCTTATCCTTGAGTATTTTGAGGTGTCAGAGAGGAATGTATTTTCTTCTCCCACAGAATAGGTTATAGGAGTTGTGGGAAAATAGCAAGATGAAAAATCTTGTATCTTTGATCTCCGAAACCTGTTGGCCCTGCTTACCATCTGTAACTTTGAAAGTCCAGATTTCTTCCAGAAAATTGCAGAGTTCATCTCTGCAAGATGCCTTCTCATAAGTTTTCCTTCAAGAGTACAGGCTAAATCCCTCTCATCTTTTCTCTTTTGCAAAACTAAGGACATTCATACTTTTGCCTTTTTTATCCAACATGTCTCATGTCTCATTTCTTCAGTTCTTGTGAAGTCCAGCCTCAATGATTTCTACAGAGATAAAGGACTTTTTTCATGAATTGCATTTCACAGCACCATGTACTATACCAGTGCTGCCAAACTGATCTCTAAGCTGCAATTTGTTGTTCAGGTCCATATCATCTCAGTTTTTCCATTTCCTAGGTATCCATTAATGTCCAAAATCACTATTTCAACTGTGAAAAATAGATTAAAAAAGTACCCTTCCAGATTGTAATATCACAAAGGGTGACACTCCCCTAAACACAGCCATCTCAGTTCAGGTGTCTATTCTCGACTACTCATTTAGGATCTCTTTAGACATAGGAGAGATTTCTCTAAAATAGAGTAACTCCTAATGGCTGGAGAGAGAACCGAGATGCCTGGTCATCTGAAAGTTAGATGGTAAATAAAGGGGCTCCCATCTTCAAAACTGCACAAAATAGAATTTATCAAATGTTATTCTTAAATATGATAAGCATCATCAGCTGAAAATGAAACAACGGGGAAACTCACAGAATTGATACTGTGTACATAATGAAAGCATGACATATCTGTCTAGATTCAATGTCTTACAAAGATTTTTAATATCTCACTGCAGTAATTGTAAATGTTTTAGTAAAATGTATCCTGTCAACTTTAAAACTAGTCTGTTTTACTTTTCTGTTTACCGTATATAAGGCTTGTTGTATGGTGAAGTTTTTTGTTCAAGTTAAATGAGTTTTGTTATAAACCGTGTGTGCAGATCTCAAGTGATAGTCTTTTAATAGATGTCAGATACACTTTAATGTTACTCTCTTTTATTTCAGTAACATTTTAATTAATTCATACTGATTGAATAAATGTACATTGAGACTTGTTTCCTAATGAGGGCACATTTAGAGGAAAGGTTTTGCATCATTCTGATATCCTGTGGGTAATTATATTCTAATTATATGGTGGGGGGAAAAAGTCTATAACTCAGTGCTGATATTGTTCATTGGACCCAATTAATTATATGCACATAATGAAAGTTCATGATAAGGTTGACTGGCAGTGAGTTTAAAAATCTTTAACTCAATTGAATCCTAGCCTACCAAGAGCTCAGAATTAGATCATAACCAGGTTAAAAACTGGGTATTGGAATGAGATGAGTGAGTAGTGAAGAAAAAAAGATTGGTCTCTGCTCATGATACAGGTTCTCTCCCCCACCCCCTTTATAAGGTAGAAAGGGAAAAATGCATTTTTGCTTTTTCTTTTCATGCCTGCCTTTACTTTGCTCCATTTATTGATGAACACGTAGCATGTTCTAATTCATATTTATGTTTGTAGAAAGATAATTAGATTTTCAATTTCCCACCAAAATAGATACAGCCTTGGTTAGTGACGAACCAACCAATAAAAACTTACTATTTAATAGATGTGTATTTATTCCATAATGCATGATGATTTTGATCCTCCTGTTGTTTATGTGAGTTTTACAATAAACTGTTTTTCACTTGATTTCTAACATTGGTTTTGAAAACTATGATTAAAACTGCTAATTTTGGAACAAAAAGAAAATTATGGTATAAATTGAAAAACATAAGGTACTCTGCTTACAATATGAGCATTACTATGTGGCAATTACCACTGTCTCCGTAGTAACCAGTTTATTTTAAAGGTGGAGGCTCTGAAATAATACTGAAGGCGAGAAATTAAAGAAATAAAATTTAAAATTGAGTCCATTTCCTTATGTTTTAATTTTCAACTTGATTGTTTTGCATTCTGGGAAAAATGGGTCATCATGATAAGTTTAAAACAACTCACATTTTGTTTCTTTCCTCTTGTGAATGAATTTGACTTTTCTTTTCTGTAGTGAAGTTATTACAACTTTTTAGGACAAAATCATTTAAGAATAAATTCAGTCCGATTCCAGTTTGGTTTTGTTTGGCATTTTATTGTCCAAAAACTTAAATGGTCAAAAATCTTTTGTTTATAACTAGTTCTATTTAGGCACATAAACCAACATACACAGCAGATTACAAATGTTTTACCTAGGAAATATGCCTTGTGCAACTACTTTATAATCTGTAGCTTCAAATTTTTGTGTAAATATAGCATATTGACATGCTGGCAAAAAAGTAATACAGAATTAAAGTTGAAAATACTGTTTAAGAATTTTCTTTGACTATTCGGTATTTAGAGATAATACATAGAATAGCTAATGGCAATATTATAATTGCAACATTGTTCAATAGATATTTTTTCCATGTCTGGTAATATGTTTTACTAATACTGTTTTTCTGTGAGGTATGTAGATGCTACTCATATGGGAAAGCAGAGTTGTAGAGAGAGAAAAAGGGAATTAGCAGTGGCTGGTTGAAGAATGAGCTTTCTTAATCCCTTTTCCAGTTTTTAATCCTAAAATGATTCTTCTGTTTTTATAATATTAGAGATCAGTTTTAGCTCAGCTGAATCCAAGCTCAACACGGAACAGAGAAAGTCAGTGCAGTGTGTAAGCATCTTTACAGGCAACTCAATCCTTTGAAGTTGAGTACTAGCCTTATTCTGGATTTCTGAACAAAGATACTATAGAAAACCTACAGTTCATTGAATATAGTGCTTGGGGTGGAGTGGGGGGGTAGTTGAATTTAAATCTGGTTGTTAAATATTAAATAATGACATAGTGATTGAAACAGATTTAAAAAACAAAACAAACCACTTTTTTCCTTTTCAGTTGTGTATCATATTGCAACGTCAGTTCTCTGAGAATCTAAATCAGACTTGAAATATAATGGTGTACTTATCTACACTAAGAGCTTTTTCATTTCTTTGAAGTCAGAAGGAAATTAATAATTGCCCTGGAGGAAAATGTATCTTCCTAACTAATTATCTGTTCGACAAACACTGTTCAATGTTAAAATAATAAGATGCTGATAAACTGAAATGGCAGCCATTCAATCATTTTAAGTTATATCTGGTTGCCTGCCCACAACTCATCACTACAGTCTGTCCCTAGGTTTATTCCTTATATTCTCTCCCATTGGAGTTTAACATGGTTTTATTTTCAAAATTCTTTTCAGAAACTTTTTTCTTTCTTGGACAGTGTATATAATCAGGTGCTATAGCCCAAGTTCATTTTGAGTTGTAAATCAAGTTAAAAATCTTGGGCCCTGCTGTTGTTGCATGTTGATGCATATATTGAATCAACACAAGATATAAGGCAAGTTGTCTTTAGACAACTGAATGAACTAAGGCCGTAATCCTAAATGAGAAAGACTTGATTTGATATGTAATTCTTTACATCTTTATTTAGATAAACTAAACAAGCAAAACAAAGTATATATATAAAGTTATCACATAGTCGTTGCTTGTTTAGAATAAGGAACAAGTCTTGCAGTCAGCAGTTTTAGAAGGTATTCTTAAATGACCTTGTCTCCATACCAGCATTGTCTTTTTGCATGTATTTTGGCCACTAGTATTAGGGTCGCAAAATGCCGCCTTCTGATTGAAGGCTTTTTTTTCTTAGCTGCAAATGTTTCTAACAAGACAGCTCTCAAATGAATTAGAAGTCTTATCTTTCCTTTATAGTATGCGCATGTGCAGCTCACTGGACAGTATTTTTGCTAGAGAATTAGTTGATAATCTTGTCCACAGGATGACTTTTTCTGCCTGTGGATGTAGAGCTGAGTATTGTGCCACAGCCCTATTAACCTTCAAGACAGTATAATGTGGTGTCCTAATACTGGCCCTTTTAATTAGCATGTACACAGGGTTAAAGCTGGAAATGTGGAGAATTTAAAAAGGAAATTTTCAAAATATTTTAGCACATCTGAATCGCAGTTACTTGGATGTGATGTCTAATAGATATTGCAGATAGATTGCTCCCCATGGTTTTGGGGTTGTGGTGATGTGGGGGTTTTTTATTATTTGGTTCTTGCGTAACTATGAACAGAAATTGTGTGGAATGGGATTTTTGTAAGCAGGGTCTTGAATGCCATATATGTTTAAAAAATTGCAGTCTGGGACTACTTATTCTAATATTATTATTCTAATATTAATAATAATCTATTGTTATTATTATTATATCCTTGGAGATTCCCATGTCATTAAACAAAATAGCTCTAAGGAATAATGAAGTAACCTTCCTCCAAGTTTCTTAAAAAAGATCCCAAAGCATCAGTTTGGTATTCAAGTCACATATTTAAACTTCCACGGCCTTCATCCTGCAAACATTTGAGAATATCTTTACATGGTATTCTGTTAATTCCATCTGATCTTCTGTGACCAAGTTTCCCTGATCAATATCTTTCCAGTTCAAGTTTTGGAGTTCTAAAATAAGATTTTTTTAAAATAACTCTTTCAGTTTATTCTTATTAACATAAAATTTGGTTGTCTCCTTATGCACCCCCATCCCCAAGTAGGGTGTATGCTCCGTCTGAATGTACATATTATAAAAGAAGTAAATATCATACAGAAGAAATCTCAAATTTGCAGTGGTTCCTTGACAAACTGTGTGATGTTATTAACCATTCACTAATGACTTTGCAATCCTGTTAAATGCATAAGTAAATTGTAGTTTCATGTTATAAAATAAATTGCTTTAAATCATTTCAGCTGTGTAGGAAATAATCCTGAAAAATAGATTTACAGTTATTGATCAAAAGACAAGGTGATAAAAGGAATTTTTACTTCGTTGTCCCAGCAATGTCAGCAGTTAAAATGTAAAGAGGTAACTATTTAGTAAGCCTTTAGTTACTATTCATCTATTTTATTCTAACAGCTACAGTAGAGGATGATAGTGTTTTATGTAAAGGAAAAGACTGTACTGCTATAAAAGGAAAGAGTAGTTGTAGCAGGAGGTGGCTTTTTTAATCAAGATTCCTTGATTTGCATGAGGATTCAAAGACTTGAAATATAAAATAAAAAAACTCCCCAGGTAGCAAGTATCACTTTTTGCTATTCAAAAGAATAAAGTCCTCAGGTTTTCTAATATTTTTAGCTGGTGCTAAAATGATCCCACACATACTTTCCAGAATATAAATTGTTAAAATTACAGCCAAAACATTGGGAGAGTATGCTTGTGCAAATGTGTAAAAAAAAAGCACCGTGTATGTTTGTTGTTAAGTACAAACTGCTGAAAGGTAACATTCCTTATGAACATTGTCCATGCCCTTTGCCATCACAGCTGTTCAGTGTTGCAGCCTAACATTCTCTTTTTCCAACAGACGCTTCCCACTTTAGGAGGTTTGCTCCCTGAGGTGCGTAACGGGAGGCATCCATGAACACACGAGTACTAACAGATCATGATATTGTACATTCTTTTTGCTATGAAGTGCATTTTGGGGCTGAACTGAAAATCTAGATATTACATTCTCTGTTATTATTTGAAAGGCAGTGTCATTTATCAATTATTTTCTTATTTGGATAAATATGAGATATACGCAATTGAGTAGTTCTTATCTGACAGTGATCTCTCTGGAGCAATCCTGAATGATAGAAGCTCCAGTTAATGGCTATTGACTGCAAAGTGGGAATTCAAGGGGAGAAAATCAGGCATGAGAGGTGCAAAAACGGGTGGAAAAAATTTTTGTTGTGGTAATTACAATTTTGAAAGGTATGTGCTCTGACACATACCCAAAGAACAGAAAAGCTTGATTCTCTGAGCCATCAAAATGTACAATAAAATCTAAACTGGTGTATTCTGTATCTCTATCAACCTCATGCATGTCCACTAAACAAAATGGTTCACAGATACAATGATCATTTTGTATGCTTTATTTAGCAAGATATTAAATACAGCACAACTGTTATAGAAACATTTCTCACCTTGAAAGATAAATTTTTGCAAATTATAAAACCATTTTATTACTGAAGGACAATTTTTTCTTAACGTTGTTAGAATTTGTAAGCTGTTATCCACAGATGATTTTATTAAGTTGTTCTTTTCTCATTTAAAAATTACATTGTTTAGTTTCCGACACCCTCTGATAGCTTAGTAATGTTATAGTAATATTATAGTTCCCAAAAGTAAGATATTCAAAGTCAGTTTTTGATTCCATGTATAAAACAAAGAGTTTATGCAAGAATATTTAAAATAGATTTTTTTAAGGAAGTGGTAAATCTTTTTGTGTTTCATTAATAGATATATTCATTGGAATTATAATACACATTATTATGTCATACAAGCTGTGTCAGATCCTCGCTTAGGGTGATACATATAGAAAAATTATAGGATATATAACTCTAGGAAATCTAGAACCTCCTATCAGCTTCTTTAGAAATTTTTCAGAGACCACTGTTGGTAGAGGTGGTGACATTTATTGTGGTATCATACTCATATAAGATGGGTGATACAAAATACTTTATTTGTACTTTCTTCAAAAATCACCAGTGAAGAAAGCAGAGGTTCAATGATAATAAGGTCAGATATCCATCTTTGATTATTTTATTAAAACACTAGACAATTCTGTATTATCAGGATACTTTTTCCTTCATATTGTGTAAGGTACATAGTTTAATCTTGTGTTGTCTTTGTGAGTCAAGCAGTAGTTTTGCTTATGGGACAGGAAATATAAATTGGAGAAGGAATGTTGCTTCTATAATAATGCAGCAGTCATAGGGCCAAGCCAGCTGAGGGTATTTGCTGCTATTTGTATCATGCTGGAACAAAAACCCCAATATCCAAAACTTTGCTTTAGGTAATTGTTACTGCATTTTGCATTTGAGTGATTAAAACCAGCAGGTTTGAGTACTGTTCTCAGCAGTGTATAAATACTTTTCCGCTAAATAACAGCATGATATATGCAAGAAGAGTTTTAGTGTTACACTTTATAAATAGACCTTTTTTGAACAATGTTTTTTTTTAACCTTCCTAAATGCATAAACTCAATGTGCTGGATCTATTCCTTTCTGTTACCTTTTCCTTTGAATTATCACAAACATCTTCTTTACCTTGAGATTTTCCTAAAGTTTTAAAAATTTGCTCTCCATTTCTGATCTCTGTTAGAAATCAGCATTTTTACTAGCTGTTTCTCTGCTTTAATGACCTCTGCTTTGATTTTTGAAGATGTTACATTATTCATGAGCCAGTTTTGTCCACCATGTAAAATCCTGTTTAACATGGTATACTTACTTTTTATAAGGTAGTGTCTTTTAAGGGTAGTTATTCACAAAGTTGTTTAAAACCCCAAAGGAGCTTCTTAAATATGAAATGAAGTGTAAAGATTCCTTCATACTGAAGTATCTTACTTAATGCCAAGTATCCTTGGCATTAACCAATACCATTGTGCAATAATGATTTGTTTTAGTTCAAAAATGTTACTGTGGGTGCCTCATCGTAGTTCTACTTTCTAAATAATCATCAATAAGTAAATACAGAGTTGATGATTTCTTAGGCAGTGATATGTACAGAGTTTGTCTGTGTTTTAAAGGTTAGGGCTGAGGTGTTTCTACCATTCTAATTGTTTCTACCATTTTCTCTATAAAGAATGAATGATATTGTAGTCTAGACTCTTGGACCTGCTCTTGAACTAATCGAGTTACTCAAAGCATCCAAGAGCTCAGTTAACTAACCTCCTAGTCATCTCACTGCATACAGGAATTTGTGCAGAGATATCCTACTTTCATTTTTTCCTGTGGCATAGGTTTGTCAGTTCTTTTATACAAAATGTAATCAGATTGCCACAGCACCTGGCTACCCAAAGCAGCCTGGGCTGACCTGCATCACTATTTGCATCAGGACTAGACTGAGTCTGTGTCAGTCTCCAAACTTAAAGAAACTAAAGATGGTATAAAAATGGTCATGATTCACATCTGTGTTAAGCTGGGAGTTATTCCCTTCCTGCTCAAGAATCTGTGTCAATGTTTTTTACCAGTAAAAACTGCTCCAGAAAGAGTTTTGTGGATTAATTGCTAGTGCAATCCCTAAGGCATTATCAGAGGTAGCATAGAGATGGGTTTGGCCTGGTATGGAACAATGAACTGCTTACTGAATGCAGTTGCAGGGGGTGCAGGAGAGTCCTTCATGCTACTTTCTAGTGCAGCAGCTTTGTGCCAGCCCATTCCCCTCACTAGTTTAAAGCCTCTTCGCACTTGTGAAGTGAGGAAGGTGGCTGGGGTGCAGTTGGGATTGGGGACATCAATTCTATTTTATAAACATCTGCTGTCTTAATTTATGGTACATTTTTTGGACAATCTAAAAGGACATGCTGGGTACAGTTTATAAATAGAATGAGATAGAAAGAACAAGGATTTTTTTTTTCTATTCAGAGTTTTCTGAAATGGCCTGATAATAGTTGAAAATATGATTACAGCAACATACTTCTGAGCTTTCCTCTTTCAAATAACCATCTCATTCTGCTGTATATCAGCAGCAAAAGTTGCCAACAGCTTAGAATCTGAGGTAGATTCTGTTTTCCGTCTGATACAAAATACATGTTTTATAAAAAAGCCACTCAGCCAATTGATTATGGTACATTTAGACCAGGTATATTTTGCCAAAGTGGAAAAGTACTTTGGAGCATTTAACCTCTGCTGGCAGTTAGGATGAAATTTTGATAAATTACTGATCTCTTATCAATTACATTGTATGATTTGCTTTCAAGTTTCAGAATGCCACCCTGGTAATGTCAGATTATCTTTTCACATCATTACATTAGTTTGTATTGTGACTAAACACTTTTAATCCATCTATTGCCTAGTCATTATGAAATGTCCAGGCACATAGATAGATATTATGTGAAGTGGCCAAACATTGTGTATTAACTTGACTGGGATCTCATTTCCATTAAAGCAGAATCTGACATTACTCACTAGTCAAAAAGCAACTGTGTGGAGGTACAGTCTCAATTACAGTTGTATAAAATGCAGTTGTATATATAATGTGTTAAAATGTTCAATTTTCTCCTTTTCTCTTCTTTTTTCAAGGAAAGACAGGCAACAGTGAAAAAAGAAAAGAGTTGCCCCCAGCAAATGAACAAACTGGGAGAACGGAGCAAAATGCAAAGAGCAAATTCTGTCACTGTAGATGGACAAGGTCTTCAGGTGTGATTATTGTTATTTTAATTTGAAGCAGGTGCTTGTAGGTATGAAGACAATGATAGACTGAGAAATCTTTAAAGTGAAATATACATTCACTCTTCTAATATTTCACTTTTACATATTTTAAAAATGCAGTAGGTAAATTCTTCCATTGATTCAGGAATCCTGTGATGCAAATCTGCTTCTCATGTCAGTGTTAGGATTTCCCAAGAAATTAAGGGGTAGGGAAGACTAAGTCACTTCTACTGTAGGATGAAACTGAACTAGTTTGTTTTGGTATCTGTCATACAGTGTTCTGTAAATTTACTTTATGAATCTATGTCTTGATAACTGTTCAGTTTTCTCATTTGGACCTGTTAATTAGTAGATTGAGTAAACTTCAAGGGTGTAATTTGTGTAGCGTATTTGGCATATTGGCATTAACAATGGAGAGAAGCAAAGTGTTTTCATTACTAGCAATATCTGTAATAAAAATTGAAGGTTTTCTGCTTGAAAGAAAAACCTGTGTGTGTGTGATGAGCTATTTTAGGGCAGTGGCTTACAGGAATGCCAGAAGTTCTGCCTGAACTTCTGAGTAGTACTAAGAGTAGTTTTGAGTGAAATTAGTGTTCACATGCATGATGCTGCTGCTTGATTTCCTCAGGAATTAAATTATCATCATGATAACAATGTGATAATAATTTATGTAGTTGTCTGTTATTTCTATCTTTTGATATGTTGAGCTTCAGTGAAAAGATTCCCTTACCATATATAAATTTCTTTATGCATCATAATTATTTCAAGATATACCTTATTGTGTCAGTATAGGAAAGCTTATTTTATTGTTTCATTGTTTTAGGTTAGTGAAACATTCTTGTTATGACAACATAAGGAAAAGAAAAAAAACCCCAAACTAATCCCAAACCCAGAAAACAAACCCTAAAATCTATGCAGTCACATGGCTTCTCCATTGATGGTGTAGTAGGACATTACAGCAATCATATCTATTGCTTTCAAGATTCTCTTCCTGTACTTATCATTCTCACAGGCTTCATTGCCATCCAGATTGTCTGTGCCAAACCATGGAGCAAAAAGACCAGAGTATTAATTGACAGAAAGCTCAAGTTCTAATAAGGCACAGTGTGACTAATAAATTGGTGCTAAAGAAAATGCATGGAGTGTTCTAACTTTTGGGTGATATACATGCAATTCCATTGAACCAAACTGTTCTGGATAGAGAAACATCTTTACTTATGGGCGTAGTTTATTTTCAGCTCTTTTTCAAGTGTCTGTTTTCCACTCATGTTATGCAGTGCCTGAGATATAGTACTTGGTCTGTTCAAAACAGCAACTCCTAGCATGACTAACTCTTGCACACACAACCTTAAATTATTAAATGTTCTCCTTTAAGGTAATTAGGTCACAAGATTTTCTATAAGTTTGTCAGTGTGATCCAAAACTTATGTTCTATATTTTCTCTCCATGATGAATTGAAAGCCTAGGATTCATCATTGCTTTTATTTATTATGCTTGAGATGGAGAAAAAGAGAGTGCAGACTAAGATGGTAGAATTATTATTGAATGGATCTGAGGTGGTTTTTGAAGTGCATGGTATTTTTTTGTAATGAGACATTTGTAATGTAGTACATGATACAGTATTGGTAATCATGGTGATAACATTAGAAATAATTCTGTGAATAATTAGTGATGGCCCTAATTTGCTGATTATACCACGGTCTTTGTTTTTCTCTATTGGATTAAATTTGTTTTGAGTAACAGGAATTCATCTTAGCCTCAAATACTACATTTTTGACTGGTAATAATATTAAGACCTAATTATTGTGAGGGCTGAGTGGATCTTGAAGGATACCATAGCGAAAGGATGGATCAATGAGAATGTTAGGGTTTTTTTCACTCACAGATTGTATAATTTTACGACTATTTTCACAAAGATGTAAGGTGCCATAAATATCACTGTTAATTAATGTTAGCATTTTTCCTAAAGATGGTCTAGAGAAAAAACTTCTGTATCTGATCAAAGTGTAGTACTCTAATTCTCCCATATCTGGCATGGTCTGATTCTGCTGGCATGGTCTCATTTTAATGATTTTCAGTAAGCAAGGATAGTTTTCATAAAACTTAATCAGTGTGTTAATTGCATTTGTTTATGATTTAAGTTCCCAAGGTAACATAGATCTTCGTATTACTCCTATTAGACCTCTGTTTTCAATATGGGAGAAAGTATATATAAACGGTCCACCGCTTATTTCTTTTTCTTTTTACTCTAAGTCACTTGTCCTATAACTTCATGGAGATTGCCTTTAAATCATGCTAGTTTAAGGCTTGACAATGTTCACCAATTTAGTCTAAATCTTTAGTTGCATTTTTATTATATAAAAATACTATATGTTATCTGGAAAAGTAATTTGGAAAATCTGTAAAAAATTAGTTAAAATTTATTTTGAAACCGAGTGGAATACACACTAGTTATTAGGTTTTTTGGGCATTTTGATGATTCAAAACCTTCTGCTTGTAATAATATGGTTGAGTCTTGAAATAAAAGATTTAAAATAGAAATAAGTCCATCATTTAGCTTTTGTTGAGAAAAGTATCAAGACCAAACCTTCTTTCCATCAGACAGCAGTGAGCAGATAACTTAGTGGCAGTGGAGGTCTGCACTACTAAAAGACAATTAATCATAGTTAAGCACATTCATCTTGCTTCTTTCTAGCTAACCAGCATAATGATCAGGATTATTATTTCTAATTAGAGGAAGTAATAGATCATGTATAACCTTAGGATGAGTCTCATTAATTAACCTGCGTCCTAAGGGATTTCAGTAGGTATTCCATCTCTGTCACAATGAGCACCATTGGTTTACACTTAGTTCACAGGAACAAACATCATGGGAATTGGCTAAATAACTAAAATTGATTAAAAGAGTAGATAAAAATTAAATATATGACAAACTTCACTGTATTCTGCAATTTGATGTATGTTTCAACATGCAGCACTTTACTGTGCCAGAAGGTAATACTGAGTTGGTTTTATGCTGAGTTTAATTCCACTGGGTTTGTGGAGTTTTCCATTATTTTTTGAATATATTGGAACAAATTTGATTTTATTGTTTTTGAAATCATGAGTGGAGTTGACACACTAGTGCTTAACAATTCCTACTAAAAGAAAAGTGCTTTTAGATGCCTGTAGGATTATATGACTATGTCTATAGGATGCCTGTAAGACTTCTTAGCTATAAAGTTTCTCAGGTTCTGCCTTAAATTGCATTTTATGAAATCTTCAGCTGAAGAGATTTTGTTATTTCAGGAGTTATGAATAAGGATTTGGAGCAAGGCCTTTCAATGTATCATTTTGAAACAGAGATGGTCTAAGCTTCATCCCTGAAGTTGTTAGTGCATGACTTTGGAGGTGTTGACTTTGAACTCTTAATATACTTTCAAACATTCTGGAGTTGATTTATGTCTAAAAGTGATAATTTTTAATATGAATAGTCTAGTTGATTGGTTTAAAACAGGTATTAGAGAGAGATGTCATTTTTTTATGTTCAAGTCTGTGGAGTAAAGGCAGTGAACACAAACATATCAGAGTGTCTGAAAAAATAGAATAACACTATTACTTACAAGGAAGGTGTTAGTTTGTAAAGCTAAATATTAATATGAATGTGTAAAACTTTCCCTTTACAAAAGAATTAAAAAAAGAATTGTTAGAAATAATTGTCTCCTGCAGTATATCCTCCTCAACATTCTTTTCTTCAGGCTTGCCCTTCTTCTACATGGTTTCTCCTGTGTTATTTTATGTTTAGCTTTCTCAGGTGTTTAGAGGAACTCTTTATTGTTATGGTTGCCACATTTTAGAAAGTGTGTGATTTCATGTCTTATCAAATACTGCAGGTTTCTGTAATTTAAAAAAAATAAAAATTATTCTGTCAAGTTTAAAATTCCATATAGCTATATTTGACCTTCATAGTAGAGTGTCATTTCTCAGTCCAAAATACAATTTCTTCCTAGCTTTTTTCCATAGGAAATTACTGTCAGAATAAGTCATGCCTGTGTTACATCCATCAGTAGAGAAGAAAACTTTAAATGAAACATATACATATATATGTATATGTGTGTATATATATATATATATATCAATATTACAGTGGAATTATGGGTTTGAATGGTACCACAACTGTAAAACAAATAGCATTAAAAGAGAAGTCACTTGCAAGTTTTGACAAATTAATGAAGTGAGGATTATTGCAAATTACAGTATTGCTTCCAGCTGGATTACATAGCATAACATAGAGTTTGCATTAAGCTTTTTGTTTTCTGTCTACTATAGGAAAAAATGAATGCAACACACAGCATTAATGAGTGGCTGTGTTATTCCCTTCTTTTAGATCACTCCAGTTCCAGGCACTCATCCACTTTTAGTTTTTGTCAATCCTAAAAGTGGTGGGAAACAAGGAGAAAGGTAAGGTTTTTTTCTTTTTTCTTTTTTTTTTCCTCTCTCTTTCTTTATTCTGATCTCTGTGAGAGAATTTTAAAAGTTTGTACATGAGAAAAAAATCCGACATTTTATACTGTTATGCCTCACATTTGAACATCCTATATCCCTGTAGAAATAAATTCCACAGTTACAAACTAGAATTAGGTCTATAGAACAGTTTTGTTTCAAATTGAAAGAAGTAGCTATATTCAGTGCCTGGGTTTGTGGGATTTGCATGAAGATGTGAGTTGTTATATTTTGCATTGAAACTTTGAATTGCTGACAGTTTTCTTTTAATCTATGTAATGATTTTACAGACAGGCCAGTAATTTAAATTAGAAATGGTATTTCATTTTCTAATGTATGACTTGCTTTTTAAACATTTAGTAGTAGAGGCTCTCATCCCTCTCCATAAGATTTCCTACAAAGAAATCTTTTGATTTTCTTAGATGGTAAGCATTCTAACAATCCAGTTAAAGTCCAGTCACACAAACTTAAGAGACATAATAACTTTACATATGTCAGTAATTACATTCATTTAAATTCAAAATGTCTAGTTTATTACTTTAAGTGTTACTGTATTGGAGACATGATAAAGTAAGGAGCATTTTCCTCCTACTCAGTCCGTCAAACTCAGGGAGGAATGCTGCATTAGTTACCCCCTAAATAGTTTTTCCTGAGTGTGTTTCAGAATCACAGATGCTAACAATATGGCCATTTTTGATAATCACATAAATCCCTAAATTTTTATAGCCTAGCTTACCATGTTGGTGCTGTAACTTTCAAGTCTTAAAAAAGATTACGGCTGAAGATGACACCTGTGGGTAGCAGGTGATATGGGTAACCCAAAGCAAAATAGGAGGGATCCAGTGGGATTCTAAAGCTTGGAACCAAGAAAGTAAACTACAAGTGGGTCAGCTTTCCCTAGCTTGTCCCCATAAGAGGCCCCAAAAGTAAGCTCTCAAAAGTGACAAAATCCTGCAGAGTAGATGTTAGGGTAATTCTCAGAGCTGAAGAGCATTTAAACAAAAAGGTATTCGAAGGCCTCTGAGAGAACAGGTTATCATTTGGGAGCTGACTATATAATCCCTGGAGTGGTATACCTAGATCTCAACTAGGCGTGTCAAAGGCAGTTAATGATCTAAAAGATTAATTCTAAATGTTTCAAGAACATGGCTTTGCAATCAAAACAGAACTGTGAGCCATCTTGAGCATTCATGTTTTAGACACAATAGCAGTGTGAGGTAGCTCTGGTCTACTGTGCAGTTAGGGATGTTGTGGAAGGTAATCTGCACTAGCACTCAGTTTGACTCTTTTATAGTACTTACATGAAATGAGTAGATCAGAGATCCAGTCTGCAATTATGTAAGTGAGAGGCAGGTTAGAGAGCTGCACTTACATAGTTAGTTATAGCCTAGAAACAATTTAATCAAATGCTGTTTCACAGCTTTCAGTTCCCAGCTCATAATTGGTCTCAAGTGTTACTATCTGAATGGGCTTAGTGCATGAGGGATGTCATTTAATGTTAGATGTTCTCTGGGGTAAAAGCAAGTTTAAAACCTGATCTCCATCCCAGGCTCCTATTCCCATTCATGCATTACAGTCTAACACTTCACAGGTTATGTCAATGAAACTGTTACTGAGGCCAAACAGGTCACAGGAATTATTTGAATTTTAAAGATGAATGCCTTATGCACACTTCATTTGCTAACACCATTATCTACAAGTGTCATTACACAATGAAGTGTATAGCATGAGGGCAGGCATCAGCATCTGAGTATAGTAAAATATAAGAACCTCCTAAAGTGGCTTTGATACTGCACACACACACACACACACACACAATATGTTAAATTGCATACTAATGTGTCGAGGTTGTGCTCAATATTTGTGTGTTAAGGGAAGCACATCTAAAGGTCAACTGCATGGTCATGTAAACATATCTCAGGTCATTCACCAGCAGGAGATAATATCTCATGGTTAAATCTAAAGGCAGATTCAAAAAGGTTAAAAAAGTCCACATATGGACTATTTAGTGAGAAGGGGGTTCCCCCCCTGTCTTTTAGGTGTTAATGTTTCATATCAATACCAGTAACAAAATTATAAAATGAAGATGTTAGGAGTGCATATCAGTTTGAATATTTAATCTAAGGGATAAAAACTTTCTCAGGGAACGATAATATTTAACTTTTTGACTTTTCTCTGCTTTACAGTCAGTAACCAGAAAGAGAGGAATCCTATATTTTTCCTGCCTTCCAATTTTGTGCCAGTTATATGTTGTGGAAAGTAAAATCACAGGACATTTGAAGACATAAATTACTTTGCAAAATGCATAGTTACGGTGATACAAGTCAAGTTTTTTGATTATAGCAATTCTGTAATTTGGTCAGGTATTGAGAGGCTAGAAGTAGAGGATAAACTGTAACAAAAGTAAGATTTCCACAGTAGTGAAAGCAAAAAAAATAAAACAAACCTAGCCCACAACATTCTAATTTTTGTAGATGAGAAATTTTCATTATTTTGACTCATTTGGATTAAGGCAATCTTTTAACAAAAGCTATTCGTCTGTCTTTACTTACGATTTTCTGTATTTGAGAGGTCATGATGAATAAAGTTATGATTTCTAATTGACTTTCATTGAACACAGAAAGGTTATTGCAGACTGTCAAGACTCTAGTGTTCCCACAGTTCCCTGTATGAGATTTTATGCCTTGCCATATGGTAACCCAGCCCATTTCATTGCCCTTAGACTTGGAGAGAGTGTATGCATCCATGTGATAACCAATTGAGTAAATACACTCCCCCAGTAATACTCTGCCATTTCCTTTTGTATTTTGTAATTTTTTTCAAATCTCTCAAATGCAAAGGAAAAGAACTGAGGATCACTTTAAGGTAAAAAAAGTTAGGTACTTTAGTTTTAGTTTTTGAATGTTGGAACAGTTATGGTGGGAAACGAATGGATGTGTGGAAAAAGTGCATTCAGAAAATAAAAAATACATTCTGTAAAATCATGTCTAGTGACTTTATCAATAAATTTTAAAACATTGATTCCATTAGAAAGTGAGAGTTTTGCAGAATGTGTAGTGATAAATAGCATGTTATTCCTGAATAGGTTTCTGTTTTAAAGACCAATGGTATTTGCAAAACAAAGAACTATAACAATAACCCATTTATACTTTCTTCTTGACTGAGAGGTTAACATTTATTGCCCATCATGTGAAACAAAACTTTATTTACAGTGATTTGGTCTTAAATTATTTTGTTCAATAGACAATACATATGTTTACAATATAACAAAAATATAAGTCAATGTTTATTAAGAAGAAAGTAGAAAAATAGAATTGAAGTTGAATAGTTTAAGCCTTTCACTTACCAGAAATACATTTTAACCGAGCATGAGATTGGACAGGAGTTCATCAAACGCAGTCAAGTGTGTTCCTCAGGCTACATCAAACTGTAACATGTTTTCAGTGATTGTACATGATTGTGCATGAAAAAAATGGCAGGACATGCATTTCATCCTATCAATGCAGGATGTCTGCACTTACAATCTGACTAATCAAGGCAACAATTTTCAATAATCTGTGAATAGAATGTACATATTTAGTACATCACTGACAAAATAGTTTCTTTCAACAGAAAGAATATACAAAGAATATATAGTGCATCTAAAGGCCGTTGTTAAGGGTAATGTTTCTCACATAAGAGTCCTTCTAAATCATGCTGTTGTTTTGCCATACTCATTACTTTGATTTCCACTTCTCACTTTTCCAGTTTATTTGCCTGACCAGCAGGTGAGTTTAAACAATTGTTTCCTTGACAAATGTGCGGTTGGATGCACTGTAGATCAACTTCCGTACACTGGTGTTTCCTGCTGACTCCACATTCAGTGTCTGTGCAGTACAGGTTGATATCTTTAACCTTTGCTGTTTTCAAATAACTTTGGTTGATAGTAGCTCTTCCCTCCTACCCTCTGATTAATCTGGCTTTCTGAGCTTTCATTTAGCATTGAGACAAAATGTAAAAGCTGTTTCAAATTGTCTTTTTCAAACTTTGTATGTCTGGAAGAGCAGATCACTAGTATTCTTTTAATTTTGGGGAGGAGTCCTTTCTTCTCTGAATTTAGGGTTAAAGTAAGCCTATAGTGACCAGATCTTGAATAGTCAGCCCCTGGATGACTGAATCCCCCAGTTGTGGCACAAGTTACTGCAATGGTCAACTTTTTCCGCAGTGTAGACAATTTCATGCCAGTTTTGAATTGCCACTTTAGAAGACAGCTCAGTCTAACTCAGCCTAAGGTGCACTCAAAAGTATTTTCTTCAGCAACAAGGCTGTTAAAAGCCAATAATCCCAGCCCCTTTGGCCACTCCTGATGTAATTTTCTGCCTCCTCAGTTATACTAGTGTGGAGTATTTTGAGGTTTATATGAGATCATGGGCATGATTTTAGTGAAGGGAAAAATGACAATGAAGAAACTTTTCCAAGGATTTGTGTTTTAAATTGAATCTATCTAGTTTTCCAGATCACAGAATAACCCCAAAAGTGGTTACAGAAGCACAACTGTTTGTTGACAAGTGGTAATTTCATGAACTGCCTTTGTTCATTGAAATGCACTCCATCACAAAAATGTCTTTTGGGGCATTTCCCGTCACACCTCCTCATGGCCTTGTCAGCACAAATATCTAGTCACAAGCAAACCACATCCAATTCCCTCCTTACATGTGAAAGAAAGACATGGGGAGACATCTCAGTTTCAGTAGGTTGTTTGCTACTGTAGATGTAAACCCACGCTCAAATATTGTCCATTTCCTGGGCTTGCACATGGCACCCTGTAGGTCTAGTTACAGTTTACTGTGAAGGCAAACATTTATAGATGGTGTCTTCCTCTTTTTTTGGTAGAATGTATGAATGGAACCAAACCATCAATTTATTAATTTTACACATATTAGAATACATAAATGAATTATAATAACTTAAAGCTTGAGGTGTCATTTGCAGCGTGCCGTTATAGAATGATTAGGTGGAATTGATGTTCAGCTAGTACCTATGAATGGTATGCACTGAGTCAAGTATGATTCAGTGTAATCTCTTCATTACTGCAGTTGGAATTCTGGGTTTTGAGTAGAGAAACTTGGCGCCCTCTTTATTAAGAAGGCTTTTATAGCATTTCACTGTTACCTGACAATAGTATTGTGAGTGTAGGTACTGGCTAGTATGTTTGTAGCACCAAACTTTAGGCAAATAACTCTTAAATCTTTGGGACCTCATAACAATAGTGTTCATGAACTTATGATCAGCTACACAAATTAAATTACCAGCACCTTTGTCCAGGTTAAATCCTATATGTCTGTGAGAAGCAAATTACACATACTAACTAGAAAACTCTCCTTTTGCATTGGTAATATGCTGCAAATGGAAATATATATATTGTTTTGTAAATCCATTGTCAAAGGTCTGATTTAATCATCATCACAGCCACTGACAATGGTGTGTGCATCCTCGCTAAGTGAAACTAGCAAGGATATTGACTTTTTCTGTCAGGAATGGCATCAGGAGTAGATTGTGTGAGTGTACTTTAATAAAATGCTTTGTGAAGAAGCTGATATCACTAAATAATTCAAAAGTTAAGAAAATGTTCCAATTTGGCAATTTTAGAGATAATTATGAATTTGTTTGTATTCAGTATTTTTACATACTTGTCTTCCACCTAGACTGATAAATTATGCATTGCTCTTAAAAAAATAATATAAAACAAAAATCCCTCAATGTGCACATAGATTGTGTCTAGACAGTTTTATTGTGCTGTATTTGAAAATGTGGACATTTTAGCCTAAAATTCAGCTCTTAGTTTGCTTCTATTTTATTTAAGCCATTAAATAGAAAGGAAGAAATATTTCAGTGGAAAAATTAATGCTTTCTTAAAAACATTTAAATATTAATTAGCTTAAGGATAGAGACATTAAAATTAAAGGCAAGACAGAGGGGTTTATAATTTAAACTATTGCCGTAGATCCCAGGTATATATTTATTCATTCTGAACTCCAACTCTTTGTTTCTTTGTAAGAAGTGAATCAGCTACCACATTATAGTCAATGTAGGAAATTACATTTCTAATATTTGTAATGAAGAAACAAAATGTCTGTTATACTTTCAGGACAAATAACCTCAAATTTCTAAAATTACAGTTTTGAGGAAATATTTGCTGAGGGTGAGACAGCAAAAAGGGTCCCTTATGGGATAGGACAATACTTTTCGTGCTGTATCAATAATTCCTTCCTATTATTCAGATAATTTTCAAATATGTGTAATTTAAGTTAAAAAGTGGTTTCAAATATTTTTTATTTTCTTTCCATTTAAATGTAATCCTGAGGAATTGTAGTTGACCATAGCCTTACTTTCTCAGAATGTTGTTCATTCCATGGGGACATTTTTGATGGGTGGCAAAGCCAATTTGCTTTTGCAATTAATTATACTTGTAATTTAGTGTTAGCAATAAATTTCAGGAAGAAATCTCTCCTTTGCCGTGGAGTTACTTTAATAGGAATCAATTCACTTTTTGAAATGCTTTTTTGACTCACCTTTTCTCGTGTCATTATACCCCCTTATCCTATTTTTTCTATCTATATGCAGTATTTGAATTTTAGATACCTTGTAGCACTTCTGTCTCAATTTTATGCCCCAAAATACACTGTATATCTGAATTATAATTGCTGTGTTCAATTATTTGATTTTTTTTGTTTAAACGAGATCCTGCGGTTCAAATAATTTTAATATGTGTTAACTTCTTTAATTCTTTCATTTGATAGGTTTAAAAAAAAATTCCAAACATGTAAGTAAATATTTTCTCCTTGTATCTTTTACCTCCTCAGAATTTATAGAAAATTTCAGTACCTTTTAAATCCTCGTCAAGTTTATAGTCTTTCTGGAAATGGACCAATGCCAGGGTAAGTCTACAGTTAATATTATTACCAGGAACTCATTTAATAAAATGCTACATAATCAAATGAACAGACTGAAGTACATATAGCATGTTTGGAATGTATCAACACTGCAGATCTCTGAATGGCTGCAGAAATGTATAGGTATTATTTGTTTACATCTACAAATAAAGCTACATCTCATATGTTTTACTGAAAACCATGCAGTACTCTGTAAAAACTGTGGGATAAATTTCATTCTATTTCTACTATATCAGCAACCTAAGTTCCTGTGGGAGTTACTTCTATGTTATAAATATCAAGCAGCCTCAAAGACTCAAGACCTGCAGCACATCCAGTTCTTTTACACAGACACACAAGTGCACATACATGTGTCTGTAATATGTATACATGGTGTACATATATATCTATTCTCGTACATGTCAGATGTAGATTGTTGTTTCAAGTTACAGTGACTGCACACTCCTTATGAATTACAGAATCTTGGTGATGTAGTGGTTGGGAAATGACTGGCCAGGCTGGGTTATGCTGTCGGAGACTGAAGCGTTCTCTGAACCAGCTGACATTGCAGTCACTCACTTAACCTGCTTTCTCCATGAGTCTTCCTAATTTGCATTCATATGAAGACAGGAGAATTACAGTGTATCAAATAACAACCTTTGCCACCTGATATTGTCTCTCTTTTAAGCAGTGGCTGCTTTGGTAGAAGAAAAGAGATAGAGCAGCACTGAACATCTGTATCATTTTGTATGTATTGGATGTTATTTAGTTATGTCGCTGATATATGAAATTTTACATCAGTCAAAAGAGTCACAGAAGGATATTAGGAGGTATAAGTTCACTGACATTCTATTGTTCAAATACTTTTTAAATATATATTTTTATTTGTTTAGACTTTTTTTTCTTTGAAGTTGGAGGAAAAGAAGATAAATGTGGAAACATACATGTTTTGTGCCTTGCAAAGTTTTGTTTCGATTGTGGCATATATATTACTGAGTATGCTCTGGCAGTTTCTGCCAGTACTTCTGGGTTTAAGGCCAAATATACAAATATTCTTTCTTTAAACAATGCTATATCAGCTCTCTATTTATTGTGTTAGACTTGAGATGTGTATAGCGCTGATGAAAGTGAAAAGCATATTTGGCTCAATCCTTTTAGAAGTTAGGATATCTTACACTACAGTGTGGCGAAGGTTCAAACTGCTGAATGCTGCAAAACCAGCTCAAAAAATGGAAATAATGACATGCATGATTTCTTTCATGCCTGCAGTTACCTGAATGCTAGTGCTGTTTTTATTAATCAAATTATATTTGTTGTTTTTATACTAGTCTTAACACATATGGAAAATTTAAGTAGTCTTAGTCTAAAGAATTAGTAGACTAAAATTAACTGAGACAAAACTAGTAACCAATATTGTTTTGCATACGGTATAATAGAGATGCCATGCTAAAGATTGAGATGATGATTTTTAAAACAACTGAAATATTATTGTTCCAGTTCATCTTATTTCATTGAACTTAAAAAAAATCTGGCTGCATTTCTGTCTTCATTTTCATGTATCTTCCCATGTGAAGAAAAATGTATTTTAAGACAAAGGCACAAGAGGGCAGTGTTAAGTTCAAGCTGAAACCTTGCACTGAAGCAATTTAAACATTAGTCCTTTGAACCACGACAGTGTTTTTTTGAAAATATTTTCAATTTCTCTTCCTGTTAGGAATCGAAATAGTTTTAGTTCAGTCACTTTGAAGAAATTTCTAATTAATTTTTAAACAGACACTACTTGTTTTGGTATATTTTTTATTCATTCCACAGAAATGAATAATGCTAAATTTCCAGTTTATCTCCTGCCATCACTTCTTGCCCCTGGCAATACTATGTAGGCTGCATGTAATTTGTCCCTTAAGTGAGAAGTTGAATATACTTTGGTATTTCACTTACCAGTACTTGTTTCTTTTTCTGCAAGGGCTGTATTACCTAATAAAACCTGCCCAGCCATCCATCTGTCCGCTCACTCATCCATCTCTATAAAGCCAATTATGCTGGATTGTCAATCAAAATGTTACGTTTATTTAAAGTTGTCATATGTGTCATTTAGATCAAAATGTAAGAGAGTTGGATATTGTACAGCAGAGAGAAAAGCTAAAGTATATTCCTCATCCTAGTTAGTTATTTAGTAGAAAGGGATAAACACAACATATTTTAAAGCATTTATGATTATTGTAATACATTTTAATGGAGTCTATTTTGAGAATTTTTTTTCTTTCGAATACCATTTTCAGACATGTTTACTCAACCTAGAGAATGTTTATAGTAGGCAGAATTTGCATTTTTTTGGTAGACCCAGGCTGTCTGCTTTAACCCATAAGTTAATGTTTTTAATTTTTGGTGGTATTTTTCTCATGGGCTGCTGTCATCAACCTAGAAGATAACGTTCACAAGTTTTCTAACTTGAGTTCCAAACATCTGTGGCTAACATGAGTTGATATTTCCAGTTCATTTCTGTCAAAAATCTAAATGTCTTCTATTTGGAAAGCAGGGAGAAAGACAAGATAACTAGGAGACTAATAAAATTGTAAATCTTAGGGGGGCTGTGAAACTGATGGTATTTTTGGGGGGTTGTTTTGGGGGATTTTTTGAACAGCTCAATTGCTATGCCTGTCATTCTTTCTCTGCAGTGGGATTACCATGATCTTTCATGGAAATGTGTTGGAATAAAGGGCTCCAAAACCCAAAACAACAACAACAACAACAACAAAAAGCTCCCAAAACCCCCAAACAAAAAACACAAAAAAGTCCCACCCAGCCCAGTTATAATGTGGGTTTTTTTAATAGATATGCTGGTATGTAGCAGGTCAACAGAAAAATATTTTGAACAAGTTGACAATGAATTTTAGTATCACTATCTGAATGTGCAGTTAATGAAGTGAATGTTGCCTACTTTCATGATAAATGGGACTGTACTTGTACTTGGAGTGCAGGAACAGCAGCAAAGACATTTCCTGTAGCTTCCTTGTATGCCTAAGCTAAGGTCTTTGGAGCAGTTTATGCCAAGACTCATGTACATGCTCTATATAAAAATATGTCCATGATGCAAATAAACCTCATGGCAGTGACTCTGGCATTGTTTCCTTTCTGGCAATGGAGACTGACCTGCTGCAAGGCCTGAAAATCGAGGAGCTCTAGGCCAAAGGGCAACAGTACACTTTAAACATGTGTATAATAATTAATATTTTACACATTCTTTAACTGGGAGTAGAGAAATATGAGTGAGCTGGAGAAACCCTGTAAGCTCTGCAGCTGAACAGGCATAAAAGATACTCCACAGTTACAGGCTGCTACAGTTAACACAGTGATGTGAAAATTGCTGGGCTGATGCATTGTGTAATTTGTGCCTAGCACCTGTGTTTTTAGCCATGAAAAGAGTTTCCCTGTTTGGTTGTTATATCTCTATAGGAGTCTTCTACTTCTGACAACAACTGTTACTGTGGATTTAATGATCTTGAAGAATCTGAAATTCAGTTATTGTTCACCTCACAGAGAGGTAAATAATAGTGGGATGAATAGCAGTCGAGCCACAGACCCGCAGGACTCTGTAGGGAGGTCAGCATTTCACAAAGGCTTTGTCCCTCTGAAAAGGCCCCTGTTCCCTAAAGTCTATTATTTAAAATGTCTAATTTATGGGGGTTTTATACTCTATAATAGAAATTATGTCCACAAAAGTTGTATTTCTTTGTAACTTCCTTAAGCATTTAATTTGGAGAGCAGGTATTTTTTAAATTCTATCTGCAATTTTGCTTCAACAGGCTTTTTTAAATCTTAAATTCTGCCCATTTAAAAGATGCTCAAGACAGAAAAACTGAATCTCTACAACTTATGCTGTAATTTAGTTGGGAATCTACAGCACCTGGGCTTTTATAACTTCACAAAGCAATAGGCTTATTTTGAAAATTACACTATTTTCCTTGATTATTTGAACTGATTGTTGGAGCATTTCTTTGCTGTTGGACATTTGGAATACCCAGAGTATTCTGGGAAGAGATATACACCAGGAATGTTTTCAGAAGATAATAGCTTCATAATTATTTTCTTCTGAAGGAAATCTTGAATCTGGTCCATATTTCCTTGGAAGAATTACATTTTTGCAAAAGAATGGCAAAGCCAGCAGTGATGATTTGGTTGTACTCTAATGATAAAAATTACTGTTGTACACCATAAATCAGTGGTACTTAGAACTCAGCAGGTCTTCACATATGAAACTTAAATCCTGAGTTTAAAGATATATATTGAACAGCTGTTTAACAGTATTTTTGCTTCTATGACATCTGTAGTGTTGACAACCGATACTTATCCTGAGATACAAATATCAGAGGATTACTCTTTGATTGCAATATTGACAGTTTTAAATTTTGCTTCCACTATGAGCAAAGAGGGGCCTCTGGTGGTTTAGTGGTTAGGGTGCAGGACTCTCACCGCTGCAACCCGGGTTCGATTCCCGGCCCCCCCGGGCAGATGGAGCTCGTCAGCCCTGTGTGGCAATCCATCTAAGAGAAGGTCACTCTAAACAAACCTACGT